TGCCAGAGATTTGCAAATTACAGCTACTGCAATCCTTCAACCTGCTATTTTTGAATATTCCCCTCCCCCAGCTGAACTGAGAATGGTTTTCTTATATTTAAATGGTTGAAAAAAATCAAAGAAAGAATATTTCATGACATATGAAAAGCTTGTGAAATTGATATTTTAATGTCAATTAATAAAGTTTTATTAAAATATGCTCATCTTACTTTGTATGGCTGCTTTCTCACAACAAAGGCAGAATTGGGTAGTTTTCAGAGACTGCATGGCACTCAAAGACTACAGAACATACTACATTTTCCTATATAGAAAAGGTTTGCTGGTCCTAAGATTTATATATTATTTTTAAAAATGCAAGCTTTCAAATTCGGTGATAAAAAGTCACAAATATTTGTGTGGAATTACTAATACCTTATACATCACTCTCAGATGAATCTTCCTAAAATACAGCTCAAATTATACCCCTGTCCTACCAAAAATCTTCTTTTAGCACTCCCTAGGGGATGGGGGGTATCGATTATTGGTAGAGGACTTGCCCAGCAAGTGCGAGGCTCTGGGTTCCATCCATAGCACCACAAAAAAATAAAAGAAAAAAAAGGAGAAAAGCATCCTTTGCCTATAAAGTCTGAAATTCTTGACAGATCTTGTATGGTCTTATCTTACTCTTCCATTCCAACTTCATTTCCCAAGCCTCTCTTTTTGCATCTTATATACCAGATGACCTGAATCATTTGTCATCCCTTCACACTCTGTGTCATTCCTACTATATGAAATTCTTTATTCTGAATACAGTGTTGTACTGCAAAATAAGCAGGTTCTTTAGAGACAAATTTAGGTTGTATTTCAGATTCTTACCCTTATTAGTTCAGGAAGCTAACTTCTCTGAACTTCAGTTTTCTTATCTATAGAATGTGAACAATAATCTTTATCCCAAGCTGCAAATGTAGCTCCGTGGTAGAGTGCTTCCCTAACATGTGTGAGGCCCTAGGTTCAATCCCAGCACCACAAAATAATAACAATATTATTACTTATCTCATAAAACTGTTACAAGATGACCGCCTGGCATATGGGAACAGCTAAATAAGTGATAAGTGTTATTACTTCTGCTTAAATCCAATCCTACCCTCCTCCTTTGCTTTTCCTCTGTCCTCCCACTGGGAAATGAGCTCTCCCTGTGTCACATACCATTATGCCTACTTATCCCTCTCTTAGATTCTAATCTGTATCTACTACCTTATATAACAGTAATTTCTCTCTACTACTTGCCCAGGAACTTATTGAGGGCAGAATTCATCTGTGACTCACTCTGTATGTCTCACAGACCTCTGAACAATGACTTGAACATAGTATGTGCACAAGTATTTATTGAATGAATGGTATGTGTTTGCTGAACTATATATAACGTGCATTAGCTGTCTCATATTGCTTAGGGATAAGTAAGGGGTCACAACACTTGTTCTGTATAATGCCTAGGTTCAGTGCTTGGCAAATATTCAAATAACATCAAGGACTAAAACCACCATCATGAAAACAAGGGCAAACGGAAAAATGGGCAATACAGTCACCTTTCAGAATGATGGTCTTTTTCTTTCCCATTAGTTAAAGTTATAATCATCTTGTGCTCCAAAAATTAGAACTAGAGCACATTTAAAGGAGGAGGGGGAAATTAACCACTTCCTCAAGGGAGTCAGGTGAATATCACTCATAACATCAATTACCTCTGAGCACAGAGCTAAATAAATCTAAATATTTAAACAGGACCTACATTCAATGAATTAATCATCACACACAGTTGTGACTACAGCCCTTATCTAAAGCTCTATACAAAATAAGGATAAAGCATAGACATCAAATTCCATCTGCATTAACAACTGTTTTTTTAAAAGTTGCTAATGATTTTTGCAACACAGTACAACACATCTCATTGGTTCCTAGAAACACTAGTTATTTGAATTTGTGGTCAAATTAATTAGTTAAATTAAAAGGTATCAATCATCCTCCTGCCTTTTAAAGCCAGACTCCTGATGCTACCCAAGATGGATCCATGCACAGGAATACAAAACCCATGGCTGAGACATGCCAATGTAGAGGGTGACACTTCCAACAGGAGAACAGCAAAAAAAAAAAAAAAAAAATGGTCTCGGTTTTAAACTTCTGCTTATGCATTTCCCTCCTGAAATCTACTGAAAATTACACATTCACCAACAGATTTATCAGTGACCAGAAGATGTATTATCAACAATGTACATTGTTTTGCCATTTCCATTTACAAAGCACTTTTAGAATCCATTAATTCTGCTGAGCTTTGCAACAACTCTGTGAGGTAGATATAATTACCACCATTTCTTTTTTGAGACAAGGTCTCACTATATTTCCCAGGCTGACCTTGAATTCTCATTTCCCTGACTCAACCTCACAAGTAGCCGGGATTACAAGTGTGCACCACGGTGCCCAGTTTGCCACCACTTTTCATTTTAATTGCACAAATTTATGGAGTACAGTATCATAATATGATAAATGTGTAGCGTCTAATAACCCAATGACAATACTTGACATTTCCTCTCCTTAACATCAAAAAAATTAATTACTCCTATTTTACAGATGAAGTGATTTGTGCCAAATCCCAAGATGGGGAAGCCAAGACTGTAACCCAGGTCTTCAAACTCCAATTCTAGTATTCTTTCTCCATTTTTTCTCCACATAAAGCGAAAGAACACCTTTGTCTTGTATCGACCCTACTTACTCTCAGAAATCCACCCAGCTGGCACAGTGTGAGGAAACAGTAGGAGTATAAACATTACTGTGGTCTAGACGGTGGGAAACATCCGTCTTTGCCTCTCACTACTCAAGCAATTCTAATTCATTCAACTTAAAGAAATGGAGCTAGCTTTTAATTCCGACCCATTCTATTTTTGGCTTTCTATGTATACTAAAAAAAAAAAAAAAAAACAAATATCAAAAAGCTTAGCCTAGAATATCTTTTGATCTTTTGACCATGTGCAAAGGTTTGGGCCTGCATAATTGTTGACTCTTACTCTTTTAATCTTACCAAAGAAGGACAGAGCAGGATGGTGGCACATACCTGAAATTCTAGCTACTTGGAAGGCTGAGGCAGAAGGATCTCAATTGTGGGTCCAACCTGAGCAAATTAACAAGACCTTGTCTCAAAGTTGTTGTTGTTGTTGTTGTTTTTTAAAAGAGATGGGGATGTATATTAGTAGTAGAGTGTCCCTGGATTCAATGCCCAGTACCACCAAAAAAATAATAATAAATTAAAGAAGGAAAGAATTTAAATCACTCTTTTTCTCTAGCTTGAAAAACATTTCAATGTTTTATTAAACTGCATTTTTTTCCTTTCAAATCTTAATCTCTTTGATATGCCTTAGCTGGTCATTTTTTAGCACAAACACTTTCGGCTTACCATCTATTTCACAAAGCTACCTGCTTCCTAGGGCTTTTAATGAGATTCAATCTGGATTCCTTACCAAGCAGTTTGTTATAGGAAGAAAACAAGCAACAAAGCACAAACATTCCCCATTTTCCTCCCAGAGAAATCTTGCCTTTCTATTTCTGTGGCACAATCTATTCTTAACCTCTCAAGGAACTCTATTAAGTGGAGACACACCCCAAAGCCTGATCTATATGTCTATCTGGAAGGATCAGCATTTCAAATACCCCATCTTTAAGGTGCTACTAGGCATTTACTCTTGATAAGAATACAATAGATGATTGAATTCAACCAAAGGACCTGCCAGAACTTAAATGGTTTATAGATTCTGACCAAAAGTGGAGAGATGACAGATGTGCAGAGAAAGCACAAAATTCAAGGGGCCAATCCGAAAAAAACTGCACAAGAAATACCAGCTGGTAGCAGTTACCATCACACTAAAGCTCCTAAGGCTCTCCCCCTCTCTTGCTTGGCTACAATCAGGTCCCCACATTGAACATAGACACACTATTTTGGGAATAAATCCACTTGAAAAAAGTTATAAGCATAGAGGGACATATATGCCAGTGAGTTTATTTTTTGCAATCATCTTTCAGCCAAGAAGAGAAAAAATTAATTATCACTCCACTCAATCATTACCCTCCATTCTTCTGGGTATATATTTTGGCACAAAGCATTGGCTTGCTGTACTCTCATTGGGGATGTTTATTATTCTTTCTTTTACTCCAAGCCTCCTGCCAACCAACAGAAATAAAAACCTCCACACACAGAGGGGGAGGGAAATAGAGTCCCACAGCCAAGTCAGCTGTGACCACTAGAAAAGCCAAGTTAGGTGATGTTCCTTTCAGTGTAGTGGCCCCCATCCCTAACACTGTATTTTATTCCCTGGGGGTTAGACTGCTTGTGCCAGGGAGCAGGCAGGTCTTTGTTCCAAGCTCAAGCAGACTTCAGTGGCATGTGAAGCCAACCAATAATTCTGAACTTAGACTGACCTTGACCTAGGCCATAGCTCAGTATGTTAAAGAAAAAAATCACTAGGGCAAAGGTGTTTTCTTTAGAAAATAACTTGCCATGGGAATTTTTTTTACTGTACTACTTATCTGTAGTAACCAAAGATCAGGACAAAATCATGACTCCAGCTGTTGGCCTTAATCCCCAAATCTTTAGGAGCCTGAGGGAGTTCCTTGGTCAGCCTGGATGTCATCTGGCACCTGACAAGGGTGGTGAATATGTCTCACAGTACCTTCAGATTATCCTTTCAAACAACCATCTGCCTAAGTAAGGCTAACTGCAGAGCAAGAGAGTCCTTGGCACAGCTACAGATCATGTCTTATAAGGTCAAGTCCACTAAAGAGAAAGGCTGAAAGTTTTGGTTGTATCTACCATTTTCCACCTCTACTGACCCCCATCCCAAAGGGTGGGAAACCCATTTGCCTCACGCGCTTGGAAGGAGTCACCCTAAAGCCTCCCTTCCTTCACCCTGCTGTGAGTAAAGATTTAAAGGCAAGAGCCACCGGCTCAGGGAAACAGCTCGTGGAAGCCTTCTACTTACTTCTCATGGCGCTGATAAGCGCGTTGCCGTCTTTGATCACGTCTTTGATGAATTTATTGGTCCTCTCCAGCTCCTGCTCATAACACTTGAGCCTCTCACGGAAGTCGGGGCTGTCCAAGTAGCAATCGCTGAACTCCAGCGGAGGATGCCCCATGGTTCTGATGACCGGGATTGTGGGAGAGAGGAAAGACACAAAGACCAAGAGCATCAGTGGCACAGTGAGGGGAGCAGAAGGGATGGACTGAACGCTGGACAACCTTAAGGAGCCTCTTAGCCTCCCTCCCTTTGGAAATAAGTACCTGTTCCAATGAGATTCCTGGGAAGCAGTGGCTGGTGCGTACGAGGAACGCGCGGCCCGTAGGTGGCTTCAGGTGACTGGGAAGGCTTACTAATGCAGTCGGATCCTGATGGGGTGCTGCCTAGTAAGCAGCATACCCGCTTGGCATCGCCTCTCCTTATAGGCAGCAGAAACCGCAGCCTGACCGGCTTGCCTCCGAAGACGGGCCGGATCCTTCCTGAGCACTCGCAAACGTGACACTTCGGCCCGCCCAGGGTGTAGGCGGGGGTGAGCGCTGGGGTTGGGAGCCGCCTCTCCTAGCTCCTCGCTCCTCGCTCCAGAGCTAGCTGAAGATTTCCTACGCCGAACTCCGCGGGCAACCTGGATCGCACTGTCCCCTCCCCCTTCTTAAAGCCAGCGCCTCCGCCCCGCCCCAGCGAAGCCCGAAATCCCAGCCTGGGCGCTCAAGCTCTCTATTCAACTGTCTTCCTTGTGCCCTAGGGTTTCGTTACCCGGGTCCGGCAGCTGCTGAGAGTTTTTCCTAGTCCAAGCTTGCTGTCCTGTGAGGAGCCAGAAGGGTTAAGCCCGGGGGCGGCCATGAAACGTAGCCTTCGTCCCTAGACACCAAAGCGGGAAGCAGAGGGCAACAACGCGGCACACAATAGCCGCGGTAGCTCGGCGCTTCCCTACGGAAACTGGGGAGCAGTCAGCGCCCTAGGACTCCAGCTGGAAAGCGTGGCGGCCTGGGAGATGTAGTCTTTCAGTCTGCAAGTCTCATGACTCCTCCCTGCGGTCTCCCCACCACCCCACCAGGGCGGTCGCTCTCCCAGATCGGCATTCCCAGTCTCTGCCAGGCTCCCTGGCAGCACCCAGTCCCAAGGGACAGGTGCGTGGCTCGGGAGAGTCCATGGAAAGTTTCTGCATCTGGATCAAGAACCCAGGAGGAATGGATGGTGGGAGATTCTCTCTCACTTCCCGTTTATTTGTCTAGATTGTATGTTCCTTTTTCCTCTCTTCCCAGCCTCCCTTTGACCTACCAAATTCTTTTTCTTTCCTATTTCTCCTGGTTCAAAGCGTTAATTCCCATGGGCCTTCGATCTAAAGGGTCTGTTAGACTCAGAGCCCCTGACAAAGAAAGGGAGACCATAATTAGGAGTTAAATTATCCCTCAATATCACCTCAGACCATCTTTTTTTTGTGTGTGTGTGTGTGATCCAAATCATTGCATAGGCTGATGATTGAATCATAAAATTTTCCACATGTAAATGGAAAACCTAAGAAAAGGATATTATAAGTTGTCTTGCAGTATAACTAAAAGGCCTCTTGTCCATTGTTGAAGAACTGGGGCTACTGGTGAAGGCAGCTGCCTTGAGATTAAGACAGAGGTTCAAACTGAAAAATAATGTGTACTAGGGAAAAAAGAGATTCATTTTTATTTTTTGTGGAGTGTTTAAATTGTGCTGTGAAGAAAACCAAAAAAAAGCCAGAACTGAAGAGGGTTGTCAATAGAATAATAATGGCTACCCAGCCTGTATTCATGTTCTATTGCTGCTGTGACAAATTACTACAAACTTGGTGGCTTAAAATAACAAAAAAATTACTATATTACAGTGCTGGGAGTTGGAAATCAGAAACAGATCATGCTAGGCTAAAATGAAGATGTCAGAAGGGCTGTGTTCCTTTCCGAACACTCTAGGGGAGAATTCATAAGTTGCCCCATCATTCTACCCATAGCCTCCTTCCTCAGACTTCAGAACTAGCAATGCCAGTAATCCCAGCTCCTCCGGAGGCTGAGGCAGGAGGTCAAAGGCAGCCTCAGCAATGTAGAAATACCCTACACACACACACACACACACACACACACACATATATACTTATATATTATATATGTATATATGTTTTCTAAGGGCTGGAGATGTGGCTCAGTAGTTAAGTGCCCCTGGTTTCGATCCCTGGTATGAAACGAAACGAAACAAAAAAAAAAAAAAGAAAGAAAAGAGAAGCTATCAATAGCTGGTCAAATCTTTCTCATGCTGCATAACTTTGACTCTCCTATCTCCCCCCTTTCTCCTTAAAGACCCTATACTTACATCAAATCCACAGGGTAATAAATTATATCTTCTCATGATCCCTAATTTAATCATACAAAGTCCCATTTTGCAATTTAAGATAACACATTCTTAGGTTCCAGGGATTTGGACATGGGTATATTTGCAGAGGTATTCTTCTATCTGTCACACAACCCATAATCTTCAAAACAATCTTATGAGGATATTAGTATGTCCGTTAAAGATGGAGAGTGGGGTCAAAGATATTGACTTGTCCAAGGACACACAGCTAGTTATGCGATAGTGCTTAAAATTGTGCCTAACCCAGATGATTCTAAAGGCACTGTTCTTAACTAGTTCACTATATTGCAAAATGAAGAGTCCACTGAGGGAACATACTCTGAAAAATAAGACATAGCCACATTCCAGGGAAAGATTTTGTTTCCTAACTTTTTTTTTTCCAGTGCTGAGGATCAAACCCAGGAACTAGCATGTGTTAGGCAAGTGCTCTACCACTGACCAGCTCTGTTTTTATCTTCAAGTTTAACTTATTGGAAAATGTCCAAAATGGGCTTTAAGTGCACCACAGGTGGAAAATGTGGAAATAAAAAGAAAGTGCCCAATGAATAGAGCTTTCACTCTAGCAAGTTTCCTTTGGTCATTCTTTCACTCATTTGATAACCATTTTTTTTCTGGTATTGGAGAATAAACCCAGGGCTTTACACACATTAGGTAAGTGCTCTACCATGCCTTTTTATTTGATATAGGATTTGACCAACTTGCTGAGGCTTGCCTCAGCTTCTCAAGTAACTGAGATTGCAAATATGTGCTGCTGTGCCCAGCTCTTATAAGCATTTCTTTTTTTTACTTACTACCTGTTTTGACTTATAGAGCACATCACTATGAAAGTCACCATTAACATTAATAAAGTCAGGTAAATTTATGCTCATTTAACTTCTATACTTAAATGGTTTTACAGTTATCTTTGTTATCCTTCATCTAGGCAATGAAACAAAAACACAGAGAAAAAGGCCGCAGTAGCTCGGCGCTTCCCTACAGAAACTGGGGAGCAGTCAGCTTTTTTTAATCAAAAAAGAAAGAGAATTAAAACTAGAATTCAGCTCAATTAGCTGTCTTAATTGAGCATTTTGCTAGGTACTTTGTATTCTTTATCCCTAACCTTTACAATAGCCCTATATGACTGGGTTTGTTTTGTTTTGTTTGTTTGTTGTTTGCTTTGCAGTGGTACAGATTGAAACAAGGCCCTTGTATGCTAGGTAAGCACTCTACCACTGAGCTACATCCCCAGCCCTTTAGATTTTTATTCACATAAACCCCAAAAGAATTTTGAGAAGCTATGTACTTCCTTACACATATTCAGGTTGACATCCAAATTTTTTCATCATGGCTAAATAGATACAAAAGGATTCATTTCTGGAATTGTAAATATTGCTATTCTAAAATGAAATCATTTCATCACTCTTTTAAAGATAATTAATTTGGTCAGGCATGGTGGTACACATCTGTAATCCCAGTGGCTTGGGAGGCTTAGGTAGGAGAATTGCAAGTTCAAAGCTAGTCTCAGCAAATTAACAAGTCCCTAAAGTCCCTAAGCAACTTAGTGAGACCCTGTCCCTAAATAAAATATAAAAAGGGCTAGGTTCAATCCCCAGAATCCCCCAAATACACACACACACACACACACATACATATACCATCAAACACTTGAAGTAAAACAAGGTGTAAACACATCTTTAACTCTAAAAACATTTCCATTGTTCATTTTTTTAATTAAAATCAAATGTCCATTATATTCTCCCCATAGAATTTATCCTATCATCTATATTTATACTTGAAAGTCTGCTATTGATTACCATATTGACTTTCTCTGCAACAAAAGTATGTCCATAAATAGAAAATATTTTTATTTCCTTCTGACCATAAGGCTCCAAGTATAAAAAGGTCTTCTAGATTAAGTTATAATTGCAATTATGCATTCAATATAGATAAATAATAACATGAAAATACTATGTATTGCAACTATTATTAAACATAAACTTTTATTGGAAATAGACCTCCTAGTGAGATGCATAGAGAAGGAGTAGGTTATAGCACCCTGAGTTAAAGAAGATTCCTAGACATCAGTATTGAAATTGTCACTTTGTTTGGCCCCACAGGTTTTGACACTCTGGGCCAAAGTGTTATAGTAATATTCCTGACTTCTGAGAGCTATGCTTTTTCTTAGATTGTGAAGGAAAACCTGAAAGTGATTTCTTAGCAAATTATTTTTAGGAAATACTACTAAAAAAGTTGAAGATTTGGAAATTGGATCCCTTTAAGCAATGATGACCTCATAACTCTTGTAGAGTCTTCATGTACCTTAATATGGAGTGAATATTTGCATCCCCAAACTCTAAATTCATACTGTTAGCCACTAGGTACTTCCAGAGTCAATAACTTATGCTTGCACTAAAAACTTCCTGCACCTTTAAATTACTATAAGCCTTTCTCTAAAGTTGCTTTTTGTTCCAGAGAAACTTACAAGGAGCCCACCAAAATTGCTAGTCATCCCACTCTACCACTTTTAGATGATCTAGTGAAAATTTGATTATTATAAAACTGAATTCTCTGCCCAGATGCCTACCCATCTACAATTTTTTGTTTGTTTGTTTGTTTTGAGACATGGTCTTGCTATTTTACCCAGACTGTTCTTCAATTCCCACATCCAAGGGATCCTCCCAACTCATCCTCCTGAGCACTGGAACTACAGGTACACACCATCATGCCCAGCTAAATATTCCATTTTTTGAACACTGACATCTCATTAAACATGTTCAAGAATATGCCTGCCTCTACATGCTATGGTGAATCTTTCCTGTATGAATATTATGAGTTCCCCAACAAAAATTCCTTGCCTTCTTTGCTCCAGGAGACACTTGTTTGGGAATTTTTCCCAATATATTCCTCACTTGCTGCAATAATAAACCTCTCTTCATTCTTTAATCTCTTGGTTGTGCCTAATAGGCTTGCATTCACCAAGAGGTAAAACTATTGCATTCAATTACAGTGTGCTGAAAACCTAACCCCCAAGATGATGGTATGGCCAAGATTAGGTCATGAGAGCAGAATCTGCATGAATGGGATTAGTGTGTGCCCTTATAAAAGAGGCTCTAGAATCTCCCTTGTCCATTCCACTGTATGAGAACTGAGAAGAAGGCCCTCACCAGACACTGAATCTGCCAGTTCATTGACCTTGAACTTCTCAGCCTCCAGAACTGAGAAATTAATTTGTGTTGTTTATAAGTCAA